TGTTGGACCAGGTGACCCTCGAGGCCCTTCCAACCCTATGATTTTATGAATGCAAAAGGAAAACAGAAAAAAAAGAAACTTTTAGTGCTTAGTGACTGTTATCCTAATAAAATAACCACACAAATCTCTCTTGAGCAAATATGCATTTTAGTGGTCCTGGAGACTGAAATGCTGTTTGCCTACAGGATGGCATAGGTGCCAGCACTGAGCAGGTCCTTGCATCACCCCACCAGCAGTGTTCTCAGAGGACTACTCCCAGGGACATCAAATTCAATCATGCTGAAACAGCTCACGAGGGAGCCAATTATAGCCAAATATGCTGATGGTCCTGGGTATATGCTATCCAGGGATAGATGGGAAGGCCATGAAATCACTTCACATGAGCCTTGAAAGTTACCAAGCATCTTTTTTCACTTGGAATTCACAGACCAGGCCCCTCCTCTCATGATGGTAGGTGCCCAAATCCCTTTTCTCAAAAACTGAAGAGAATCAGTACTTTCTTCTAAAAGGTGGCAGATGGAGGCCACATGCTCCTCTTATCCAGTAAGTCAGGATTCACCCAGGATGTTAAAGACAGGTTCAGAAGCATCCTTCACTTGAGGGGATTAGAGCATCCCCATCCCACCTGCCCTGCATCAGGCTCCAGGGCATTATAGACTATTCTGCTGTGTATGGGCTCTTTACATATTCATTGGGCCAGAAACAAAGTAAGAGAACAAGAATGAAAATGTCTCTAACCTAGTGATTAGGGCACTTCCCTAGGATAGAGAAGACTTTTGGTTCAATCTCTGCTTCAATGAATTAAATGCCAACCTCAGGAATTGGGATTCCACTCCTGGAGGCAGATACCTAGACTCATGGTAGGGTTTAGGTACCTAGCTTGCAGTGTCTGTTGTCTACCCTCTCCCCCGTGTCCTTCCCCCTAGTCAAAAGCAACAACAAGGAGGGAAGCTGTAGATGTGTGGTATGGTGAGGTCGTGACACCATGAAGACATTTAATAGTGCAGGGGTCTCTGGAGTTGAGTGCATAGTCCTTGCCTAGGGCCAGACTACGGGCAGAGCCATAACTGACTGTGTTCTCACTTTTTTTTTGGAATGCTCTCTTGCTTATTTTCAAAGCAGTGATTCTGAGCAAAGACATGTATTCCAAAGAACTTAAATTGCAAATGTATGATAAAGCAGCCTATACAATGGGCAATCGCAAAGTTTGGAGCACCACCTAGTGACAGGAAAGCAATACACTATGTTAGTAGTAGCGCACGCACAGAAGATACAGAGCCACCTCCAGTCCCAGACCCACATCTTAACCACAAGATCATTTCTCAAAGAACGTTCCCTTTCCTACACCCACTGAAACATGAAATAGGTGCTAAAAGGAAAAGCATTTTCTCCCCACCCCCGCAAGAGAAATGATCTTTCATCACTTTTTTTTCCCTCTCCCTATAAAATATTCTTAACACTAAGCTCTGGCCTGCATTTCATCTGATTGTCCTGATTTCCTAGAAACATAACCTGCTTACTTCTGAGTGTGAGTACATGGGTAACAGCAAAATGTTTCTAAAGTTGTTTCAAAATGAGATTCTCACTAAAGCCACCTCTGACCAAAGAAAATACAATTGCTGTTCTTGCATTATTAAAAAAAACTGGAAACAACTGTTATACTGTTTTATTTGGG